ATCGTCACTACTCTGCCAACAGTCACTACATCGAGCAGACCACTTACTCTGGTATAGCAGTCGTTACTCTTGAGCAGTCACTACTCTGGAGCCGACACTACACTGGAGCAGTCACTACTCTGGAACAGTCACTACTCAGCAGCAGTCACTACACTGGAGCAGTCACTAGTCTGAAGCAGTCATTACTCTGGAGTAGTCTCTACACTGTAGCAGACACTACTCTGGAGCAGTTATTACTCTGGTGCAGTCACTACTCTGGAGCAGTCACTACTCTGGAGCAGTCACTACTCTGGAACAGTCATTACTCTGGTGCAGACACTACTCTGGAGCAGTCATTACTCTGGTGCAGTCACTACTCTGGAGCAGTTATTACTCTTGTGCAGACACTTCTCTGGAGCAGTCACTACTCTGGAGCAGTTATTACTCTGGTGCAGACACTTCTTGGAGCAGTCATACTCTGGTGAGTTTTTACTCTGGTGCAGACATACTTTGGAGCAGTCTTTACTCTGTGCATTCACTACTCTGAGGAGCAGTCACTCTCTGGAGCAGTCATTACTCTAGAGCAGTCATTACTCTGGAGCAGACATTACACTGGAGCAGACATTACACAGGAGCAGCCATTACCCTGGAGCAAACACTACACCGGAGCAGTCACTACACTGAAGCAGAAACTACTCTGGAGCAGACATACACTGGAGCAGACAACCACACTAGAAACAGACACAACATGAAGACAGACAAACTATGGAACATTCACATACTCTGGAGCAGTAAAAATACCACTGGAGTAGTCATTACTCTGTAGCAGACACTAGAGTGAAGCAGGCACTACACAGGAGCAGTGATTACTCTGGAGCAAACAGTACTCTGGAGCAGACACTAAAGGGAGCAGTAAAATACACTTTAGCAGACACTACATTGGAGCAGACACTACACTGGAGCAGCCACAATACTGGACCAGACAGAACTCTGGAGTAGTCACTACAATGGAGCAGGCATTTCTCTTAAGCAGTCACTACCCTGGAGCAGTAACTTGACTTCTGAGCATTCATTACTCTGTAGCAGTGATTACTCTGAGGCAGTCACTACTCTGGAGCAGACACTACTCAGGAGCAGTCATTAGTCTTGAGCAGTCATTACTCTTGAGCAATCACTTCTCTAGAGCAGTCACTACTCTGGAGCAGTCACTACACTGGAGCAGTCACTACTCTGGAACAGTCATTACTCTGAAGTAGTCACTACACTGGAGCAGACACTACTCTGGAGCAGTCGTTACTCTTGAGCAATCACGAAACTGGAGCAGACACAACTCTGGAACATTCACTGCTCAGGAGCAGTCACTACTCTTGAGCAGTCACTAATCTGTAGCAGTCATTACTCTGTAGCAATCATTACTCACTGGAAGCAGTCAGTACACTGGAGTAGTCATTACAATGAGAGCTTTCATTACTCATAGGACGAACGCTCAATAAATGGAGAAGTCACTTCTCTGGAGAAGTCAATACTCTGGAGCAGTCACTACTCAGGAGCAGACGCTACACTGGAGCAGTCACTACTCTGGAGCAGACGCTACACTGGAGCAGTCACTACACTGGAGCAGTCACTACTCTGGAGTAGTCACTACTCTGGAGCGTACTACCCTGAGAAGCAGTCACTACACTGGAGGAGTCACTACTCTGGAGCGGCCACTACCCTGGAGCAGTCAATAACCTGGAACAGTCACTACTCTGGAGCAGTCACTACTCTGGGGCAGCCATTATTCTGGAGCAGTCACTACTCTAGAGCAGTCACTACTCTGGAGCAGTCATTACACTGGAGCAGTCACTTCTTTGTAACAGTCACCATTCTGCTACAGTCACTATACTGGAGCAGACACTAGTCTGGAGCAGTCATTTCTCTGGAGCAGTCACTACTCTCGAGCAGTCACTACTCTGGAGCAGTCACTACTCTGGAGCAGTCATTACTCTAGAGGAGTCATTACTTTGGAGCAGACACTACACTGGAGCAGACACTACACAGGAGCAGTCATTACTCTGGAGCAAACACTACACTGGAGCAGACACTACACTGGAGCAGAAACTACTCTGGAGCAGACACTACACTGGATCAGACACAACACTGGAGCAGACAACTCTGGAGCAGTCACTGCTCTGGAGCAGTCACTACACTGGAGCATTCATTACTCTGGAGCAGTCACTACTCAGGAGCAGACACTACTCTGGAGCAGTCATTACTCTGGAGCAGTCACTGCAATAGAGCAGTCACTACTCTGCAGCACTCACTACTCTGCAGCAGTCACTAATCTGGAGTAGTCACTAATCTGGAGCAATGACTAATCTGTAGCAGTCATTACTCAAGAGCATTCATTACTCAGGAGCAGTCACTACTCGGTAGCAGAAACTACACTGGAGCAGTCACTACTCTGGAGCAGAAACTTCACTTGAGCAGTCACTACTAAGCAGCAGTCACTACTCTGGAGCAGTCACTACTCTGGAGCAGACACTTCACTTGAGCAGCCACTACTCTGGAGCAGACACTACACTGAAGCAGTCACTGCACTGGAGCAGTCACTACTCTGGAGCAGACATTTCACGTGTGCAGCCACTTCTCTGGAGCAGCCTCTACTCTGGAGCAGTCACTACCCTGGAGCAGTCACTACTCTGGAGAAGTCACTACTTTGGAGCAGACACTACACTCGAGGAGTCACTACTCTAGAGCAGTCACTACTCTGGAGCAGTCACTACTCTGGAGCAGTCACTACACTTTAGCAGTCACTACTCTGGAGCAGTCACTACTCTGGAGCAGTCATTACTCTGGAGCAGTCACTACTCTAGAGCAGTCACTACTCTGGAGCAGTCAAAAAATTTTTTGATCTTCGACTCTCAGTCTGGTTAGTGGCTTGCTAAAAACTGCGTCATATTGGACTTGAGTAGTAGCTCACTCATTTCCTTGCTGTCATCTGTGTAGGACCCATCTTCGTTTAAGTAGGGCCCAATACTGGGACGTTGTTCTCGACTTTGATTTTGGCATAGGAAGAAGAAATACTTTGGGTTTCTTTCGATTATTTATGGCTTTTAGTTCTTCCCGCGTTTTCCTGACTCCTATTAGATTCCTTTAGTTAAGTTTCGATGTTTTGCTATTTTCTCTGACCGTGTCTCCTACGCATTTCAGATAGATTGACCTCTTTTAGCCGCGCTGTTATTCTTTTTCGTTCGCCTGTAAAGAGAGGCCTTGTCTCTTTCTTTTTTGCACTCTACTCCTCCTTTTTTCTATAGAGGAATAGTCTTGTGCATACCCCCAAATCGGTGCCACCAAGTATAATCTGTTCTAGGCCATAAGTTGGGTCTGTGCTTGACTAGTATATCTTCCAGCTTATATCGGTTAGGACTTGGTTTTACTTGTCCCACTTTATGTTTTGTATTGAAGTTGAATTTGGTTGAATGTCCCTCGTGGACTAGTCTCATATGTCGGTCTGGGGCTGCGCATAATGTGGGAACCTCAATTATGTTGTGATTGAGTATATTGTTTTTGATATGGTGAATTTCTTACTCAGATCTTCAATTGTTAGGAAGATGAGTCTAGTGTATTCTCCAATTCTAGTAGGCTCTATATTGTGCTGGTTTAATGAAATTTTTGTGCAAAGATTTAAAAAGCTCGTGTGAGTGTTTGAGTTTTTCCATCAGGTGCTGTCCTGGTGTTATTACTGCAACAATATTATTTTGCTCATATTCTCCATTTTAGGTTGACCTTAATTTGAAATCCCCAAGGAGAAAGGGATGTGGGGTTTGAGGAGTGGAAGATTTTTCCGACAGTGGTCAATTTTTAACAGCTGTCCTGGAATTGCTGGGATGTTGCATACGGGGATGGCTTGTTAGGACTACTCACAATGACTAGGTTTTGGTTTCGACCTTTACTGCTAAAACTTCCACTACTCATTTGAGGCCTTAAGCAGTTCTGTACAAACATGTGACTCTGCAAATGTATAGGCCAACCCCCCCCCCCTTTTGCATGTTCCCACTCTGTTCACATCTGATAGGTTGAAACCTGGGATCACATATTTCGTTCTGTCTAATGATCCTTTATGTGGGTTCCACTATTTGTGGGTCTTCTTAGGATTTTATGTGGAAGGTTTTGACATTCTCTTTGTTCTTGGACAAGCTTAAGTTGGTTGGAAACAGGTTTCTTTCCAGACTGTGTATTTTAAACAACTGTTACTCAGCACTACAATGCTGAATGTCTGTCACTATTTCATTCCGGTTTCTGACCTAGCCTAGAATATAACTAATTTATACCTACTTCTATATGAAATGCACAGAAATCTTCACATTAATTTGTACATATATACAAGTCGTATTAAGAATAACGTTTCATATCTTTTTTTATTTCTTTCTTGAGACACAAGCCAGTAACAACTTCCTTGTCGGACAGGAGAAAGTATTGCTTGCTAGTCCTGGTTGATAATATTTAAAAGATTTCCATGGTATTGATAAGGGGAACTTGATAAGATACTTGATTAGGTACTTGATAAGGTACTTGATAAGGTACTTGATTGATAAAGGGTACTTGATAAGGTAACTTGATAAGGTACTGATAAGGTTACTTGATAAGTTACTTGATAAGGTACTTGATAAGAGTACTTGATTAAGGTACTTGATAAGTTACTTGATAAGGTACTTGATAAGGAACTTGATAAAGGTAACTTGATAAGGTACTTGATAAGGTACTTGATAATGTTACTGATAAGGAACTTGATAAGGTACTTGATAGGTACTTGATAAGGTACTTGATAAGGTACTTGATAAGGTACTTGTAAGGTACTTAATAAGGTACTTGATAAGGTACTTGATAAGGTACTTGATAAGGTACTTAATAAGGTACTTGATAAGGTACTTGATAAGGGTCATATTGGACTATACGAGCTTGTTGGGGGGGAGGGGTATAGAGTGATTATTTTAATGGGTAGTTTAGTGCTTAACATACTGATAATTATTGAGCTTCACCTTCCAATTAGCATCAGGGTTGGCTTTCTTCATGAAGCGTTCCCAGGTGTGGCTGAAGGGACCGTGACCAAGGTCGTGACAAAGACCAGCAATCTTCAGGCACAATACATCCTTATCGGAGATTTGGTAAGGATTGTCATTCTGTAAACTCTCCGCCATCTTGCCAGCCAGATAACAGGTGCTGTGTGAAGAAAAAATATAACATATTTGAACACTGGACACTAATGTTCATTTTAAAAGAATTCAGAATACAGATCAAAATACTCCGTTAAAATATCTTTACTAACATGGGTGAGAAACTGAAGTACATTACAGATATTAAAAAATTGGTTTAATAAATTTTTAAACTTCCCAATGTTTATATTCATGAAAAAATTGAAAAATTATTCAAACCCGTAAATTATTATTAGTCAGGAAATAATTACCTTAAATCATTTTTAAACAAAACAGTAGCAACCACTTTCTTGAAGCAGACACTACTCAGGAGCAGACACTACTCAGAGCAGACACTATCAGGAGTGGACACTTACTCAGGAGTGGACACTACTCAGGAGCAGACACTACTCAGGAGCAGACACTACTCAGGAGTGGACACTACTCAGGAGTGGACACTACTCAGGAGCATACACTACTCAGGAGCAGACACTACTCAGGAGCCAGACACTACTCAGGAGCAGACACTACTCAGGAGCAGACACTACTCAGGAGCAGACACTACTCAGGAGCAGACACTACTCAGGAGCAGACACTACTCAGGAGCAGACACTACTCAGGAGCAGACACTACTCAGGAGCAGGACACTACTCAGGAGAGACACTATCAGGAGTGGGACACTACCTCAAAGAGCGACACTACTCGGAGTGGACACTACTCAGGATGTGGACATACTCAGGAACAGACACTATCAGGAGCAGACACTACTCAGGAGCAGACAACTACTCAGGAGCGGGACATACTCAGGAGGGCAGACATACTCAGGAGCAGACACTACTCTGGAGCAGACACTACTCAGAGCAGACAGTACCAGGAGCAGACACTACTCAGAGGGACACTACTCAGGAGCAGACACTACTCAGGAGCAGACACTACTCAGGAGCAGACACTACTCAGGAGCAGACACTACTCAGGAGCGGACACTACTCAGGAGCAGACACTACTCAGGAGCAGACACTACTCAGGAGCCAGAATACTCAGGAGCAGACACTACTCACGAGCAGAACACTACTCACCGGGGGGAGCAGAACACTCTCAGGAGCAGACACTACTCAGGAGCGGACCACTACTCAGGAGCAGACACTACAGGAGCCTGAACTTAATCAGGAGCGGACACAACTCAGGAGCAGGACACTATTCAGGAGCATAGACATACTCAGGAGCGGACATACTCAGGAGCAGACACTAAGTCAGGAGCAGACACTACTCAGAGCGACAATAATCAGGAGCGGACACTACTCAGGAGAGACACTACTAGGAGCAGACACTACTCAGGAGCAGACACTACTCAGGAGCAGACACTACTCAGGAGCAGACACTAAACAGGAGCAGACACTACTCAGGAGCAAGACACTACTCAGCAGCAGCATCCCCCCACCCCATCAGGGGAGCAGAACTAACTCAGGAGCAGACACTACTCAGGACAGAACACTACTCAGGAGCAGACACTACACAGGAGCAGACACTACTCAGGAGCAGAACTACTCACAGGGAGCGGACCACTACTCAGGAGCAGGACACTACTCAGGAGCGGACACTACTCAGGAGCAGACACTACTCAGGAGCAGGACACTACTCAGGAGCAGACACTACACAGGAGCAGACACTACTCAGGAGCAGACACTACTCAGGAGCAGACACTACTCAGGAGCGGACCACTATCTGATTGGACACTACTCAGGAGCAGTCACTACTCCAGGAGCAGACACTACTTCAGGTGCAGACACTACCTCAGGAGCAACACTACTCAGGAGCAGACACTACTCAGTGAGCAGACACTACTCAGGAGCAGGACACTTCTCGGGCAGACACTACTCAGGAGCAGGACACTATCAGGAGCAGACACTAATCAGAGCAGACACTACACAGGAGCAGGACACTACTCAGGGCTGCACTACTCAGGAGCAGACACTACTCAGGAGCGGACACTACTCAGGAGCAGAAGCAGACATTACTCAGGAGCAGACCACTGCAGGAGCAGACACTACTCAGGAGCAGACACTACTCTGGAGCAGACACTACTCAGGAGCAGACACTACTCAAGGAGCGACACTATCCGGAGCAGACACTACTCAGGAGCGGGACACTACTCAGGAGCAGGACACTACTCAGGAGTTGACACTAATCAGAAGCAGACACTACTTCAGGACGCGGGGGACACTACTCAGGTGCGGACACTACTCATGGAGCACAGGGATTAGCCTACTCAGGAGCAGACACTACTCAGAAGCACACATACTCAGGAACAGACACTAATTCAGAAGCAGGACACTACTCAGGATGCGGACATACTCAGAAGCAGACACTATCAGGAGCGGGACACTAACTCAGGAGCAGACATTTATTACTCTGTGAGCAGACACTACTCTGGAGCAGACACTACCTCAGGAGCAGGACATAATCAGGAGCAGACATACTCAGGAGAAGGACACTACTCAGGAGCGGACACTTCTCAGGAGCAGGCATACTCAGGCAGCAGACACTATCAGGAGCAGACACTCTCAGGAGCAGGACACTACTCAGGAGAGAAACTATCAGGAGAGACACTACTCAGGCAGACACTACTCAGGAGCAGACACTACTCAGGAGCAGACACTATCAGGAGCAGACATACTCCGGAGAGACACTTCAGGAGCGGAAATACTCAGGAGCAGACACTACTCAGGAGCGGACACTACTCAGAAGCAGACACTACACAGGAGCGGACACTACTCAGGAACGGACCCTACTCAGGCTCAGGGAATACTCAGGAGCAGACACTACTCAGAAGCAACACTATCAGGAGCGGACACTAATCGAGCAGACACTACTCAGGAGCGGACACTACTCAGGAAAGAGCAGGACATATAGGAGCGTGGACACTTCACAGGAGCAGACACTACTCTGGAGCAGACCATACTCAGGGCAGACACTACTCAGAGAGCAGACACTACTCAGGAGCAGACACTACTCAGGAGCAGACTACTATGCAGGGCAGACACTACTCAGGAGCGGACACTACTCAGGAGCAGACACTACTCAGGAGCAGACACTACTCAGGAGCAGACACTACTCAGGAGCAGACACTACTCAGGAGCAGACACTACTCAGGAGCAGACACTACTCAGGAGCAGACACTACTCAGGAGCGGACACTACTCTGGAGCAGACACTTACTCGGAGCAGCACTACTCAGGAGACGGACTAAAATCGGAGCAGACATACTCAGAGCAGACACTACTCAGGAGCGGACACTACTCAGGTGCAGACACTAATCAGGAGCAGGACACTACTCAGAGCAGGAACTACAGGGCGGACACTACAGCTCAGGAGCAGACACACTCAGGAGCAGATACTACTCAGGAGCAGGAACTCGTACTACTCATGGAGCAGGACACTACTGAGGAGCAGACACTACACAGGATGCAGACACTACTCAGGAAGCCAGACAATACTCAGCAGCTGAACTACTCAGGAGGCTGGACATACTCAGAGCAGACACTACTCAGGAGCAGACACTACTCAGGACAGAACTACACAGGATAACATTTTATCTGTTTTTAGTCATGTTCCAGGCCTCTTTTATTATTACTTTGGCTTTCTATTTTGCATTTTTATTTCACAAAAATAGAAGTTTACTGTTTGTTAATACTGAATCTTTTAAAAATGGTATAAATAATATCAATGCACTTGTAAAAAATTAGACTCGCAGTTGACGTGTGTATTCGACACTTGGGTGGGATTTCCTTTATGCTGTTCATCAGCAAAAAATCAAATATTTTCAACTTTGAGCTCGATTTCAAGATATTGTATAGTGAAACCAATCAAAACCATCTCTATTTCTGTAATATATCTTCCATTCTATCAAAGAAAATGAGAATACAATGAAAAATACCATATGAAAATACTCTGCAAAGTCGCAGTTTTAACCCTTTCAGGATCGAATGGCCCTCTCCTAAACTCTTTCTCAGAGGTCGAAAATTTTTGGGAAAAAAAATTATTTTTACTTATGAAATGATAGAGAATCTTTTCCCCATCATAATGATACCAAAAGCATGAAATTTGATTGAAAACTTATGGTGTAATGGAATTATGCTCTCACATGTTGCGTGTCTGACCGATGTATACTCATGGGCAAATTCGCCCACTTTGAGCCCTATTTTCTGCCAATTCCAGTGTACTAGTCGACAAAAATCATATTTGAAAAATTTTTTGAAAAAATGTCATAGGTGGATTAATGAAAATGTCCGTAACATAAAATATGACATTTAACCTTTCAGGGTTTGACAGGCCCCTCTCAGAGACTTGTACTCAGGGTGGCCAAATTTCAGTGTAACTTGTTCGACACAAATCATAACTATTTTGCTAGAACTCCATTTTTCTATCGAATGAGTTCAAGAAACACCTTTTACGATTTCAAATATCCAAAACAGTGGTCAAGGAAATTTATCAATTTTGCCATTCTAACTCAAATTTCAAAAGATGCCAATTCCGAAAAGGGTCCAGAATAAACAGAAAGACATTTCCTGCCACTAAAATAACATTTCGCTGTTTACTAGCCACATTAAACCCCATGCCCTCTTACATTTCTTTTGTTTCACTTTGAATTTTTATTCTCAAAAAAAAAAAATAGAAGAATTACTGTAATGCAGACTACGCATTGTTTGAATGGTATAAATAATATCAGCGCATTGTGAAGATTTATTAGACTCACAAGATTGACGTGTATTGGGACGCATAGCATGATTTGTTTACTTTGAACTTTGGTTAAATCGAACAATTTCTGCTACTTAGAGCTCATTTCAGGTACTTTTTTTGTAAAACCAGTCAAAAGTCATCTCAATTTCTGTAATATGTCATTCATTCTATAAAATGAGACCAGAAAACAGAATACAACAAAAAAAACATACGACAATTGCAGTGCCCAAGTCGCTTGTTTTATCCAAAAACACAGTCGTTTTTTTTTGCTCATTTATGGACTGTGT